TGTGTTGAGAAAAGAAAGACTTTTTAGGTAAACTATCCATCCAAAGGCAATGCTGGGAGATGGAAAGCTGTAAGCATTTAGATGTGGTTAGCTTAGCTCCTTTGTGTAGACTTGCCTTTGGAAAAAGAGCTGGGCCTGCATGGAGGTGGGAAAGGTCTATATTTTAATATCACAGGGCCATTTGGAAAAAAATACTACCATCGGCAAGGGCAATGCATTATGGGAAATTTCCTTTCTGTCTCCTCCACGCACACAAAAAGTAAATCAAAAGAGGTTCCTGAGGGGAGCGTTTACCTCAGGTTTCATGGTTTAACTACAAAACTGTTACCATACACTTCTTTCCACTGGTGAGGATTATTTAACACAGAGCGTTTTGTATTCTGTTTGGATTTATCCACCAAAACCAAACCTGCCAACACTCTTATTTTTTTTTCCCGGGAGTCTTCTGTATTTCACAAAGCTGGGCAATATGGCAAAAAATGCAAGCTCAATAATTATTTTCTATAATAATCGATAGCGATATATATATTTCGATATAAGTTTTTTTGTTGCTTCCACTTTTAAAAGAGCATCCCAACAAACTCACAAACATTAGAGTGTTAATTAAATAACATTTTAAAATTACTGAGCTTTTACTTTGACCAAGACACACACTCTGCTTTCCGCAATACTGGGTGATGCAGCAAAAATCATTTCCAGATTATCATTTTCAGCCTCTATTATCAACACACTTAACTGCTTAGGGCTGCACAATATTGGAAAAACGTACATTGCGATATTTTTATTTAATGCGATTTATATTGCAATATTTCACCAAATAACTTAAATCAGTGGTTCCCAAAGTGGGGGGTCACGGGACATTGTCAGAGGTTCGCTTGGTGATTTCCGAAAGTCTATAATTTTTACTAAATTTATTATTAAAGTTTTATTAAAGGTTTATAGCACCAGGTTAAACTTTTTGACACCTTTGTGGCAATCAAATACATTATAAATAAATACAGGCCACAACTGAATATTTAGAAGAGTCTCTGATTAGCAGTCTCCAAAATTAAACCAAGAATAGACTTGTGCTGAAAACATTGTTTCCACCAGTCTCTTTAGGTGAGGTTAATATTAAACTAAGTTAATAAATGACTATAAAAATATGGTTCTTAGACTGTTGCACTTTTTGTGTTGTCAATATGCTCGTGTTTATATAGGGCTATTGTTGTGTGCACAACATTTGTATATTTATAACCACCTCCGAAGAATTTGGGGGTTGCGAGTCACTGGCATTGTTATTTTAGGCATCACGGGCTAAAACGTTTGGGAACCCCTGACTTAAATAGCTTTATTTTGAATAATTAATACATTTATATTGATTGGGAAGATTCTGTAGAGGAGTGCATCTGCAGAAAATATAATAGACTAATTGGCAGCATAGATACACTAAAGCAGCGATATAAATGAAAGAGTCTAACAGTATTCGGGTACAAAAATAAATTAATTAGACTAACAATAAAGTTGTATTATATACATTATTAAATAAAATTAACTTTTGGTAAATCTACAAAATGCAATAGCTCCTTGTATCCAAATGCTTTAAGCTCATTTAAAATGCTTACAGTCACAGGCCTTAAAGCACATGTATTCCTTTTTTGGTCTAGTCCAATCTAACCATACGTCTTTAAATGGAAAAATCTATTTACACCTATTTTTACACCTATACATTTGTTAAAAAAGGTTAGAAACATTGTCATTTTGTTTTTGAAAGAAATGTGTTCTGCTGAAATGACTCTATGTGATAATAAAATACAGTTAAAACAGTCACATTGTGAAATGCTTCAATTTGAATTGCGTTTTAAAACATTTACAAGGTACGGCAAATTGCTGATGACATGAAGGAATTAAAAAAAAACACAATTGTACATGATCAACTATAATCCTGACTTCACATTACAGATCCTGCAATGTGAAGGTTAAGCATTCACACATTGTGATATCAATGCTAAAACAATATATTGTGCAGCCCTACCACTGTTGCATATTTCTGCTGTGTGAATGGCTCTTGAATGAATATTGAACATTGGGTCTTGAATGAATATTGAGTAAAATTGTCCAGAGCTTATCACTGTTATAAGCATGAATTGTATTGCGATTTGATATGATATTGTTTATCCCTCCAACCATATTTCACACCCATCCCCCGCTAAGGGCCTGATTTAACCAATAAGCAAGGTAAACTATATATATATATCTTTGTTTTTACCACATTTTGTATGGTGAGAGTTACAAATACAATGTTAATGTGATGAAATATTATTTATACAATCAAATATAATATTATAGTAATGTAATGTTATGTAATAATAATAATATTACAAAATAAAATATCCATCATGGAGCAGTCCGGCAGTCAAATTTATAAAAAATTATATATCATTTTTAGTTGAAAATTTATTTTAAGAAAACTAATCATTTAAAATGTAGGGATAGCAGTAATGTATTGATTTAAAATTTTGTAAAGAAGAAGTGATTTAAAAAACTATATAAATATAAATTAGAATGAAATAAAAGTTGAAAGGGTGCATTTCAGGACTTGGGCCCTATGGCTGGAATTGCTTAGGGCCCCAAAATCACAAAACATGCCCCTGTCCCCGCCACCCTCCCGTTTTGTTATTTTGCCCAGGAAACTATTAAGTGACCAGAATTTACAGAATATTAAAGATGAATGGTGGAAGGTATGACCAAAACTGGCACCTAATAAAGAAGAAGAAAGGATAAAGTGCATAATTTTTCTTTTCCCATATATCTTTCTCACTTGACTTCTGAGAATATACAATTCCTGTAGCAGGTTTGTGAAGCAGGCAGGTGCCTACTTCATGGTTTTCGGTTCTGCTGCTGTGGTTTAGTTACGTCAGAACGGCTAAGCAGACTTCCTGTCCCTAGCCAGTAATGAAACTCTGAACTGGGTCAGTTGTTTATGTCTGGAGCACCTGAGCTGGCCACAGACCGCCTAATATAAGAGCCGTTTGCTGAAGTAATCTGAAACAGGTCAGTCCGGGGAGTATTAAAACTTCTCACTACCAAAAGAGGAAAAAAGAGATAGAAGAAGAGAAAGAGAGAGAAAGAGGAGTTGGGGAAATGAATTGAGGTCCATTTGAGCAGCACAAGGAAACCATTGTTTTTTAAATGTGAGCCTCTATGTGCTCCTGTCTGCCAAAAGTAACCTTCTCCTCCTCAAGATCGCTATGAAGATAGAGAAACTGTCATAGATTGATTTAATGCAAGACAAAATTAAACACATAATATACCAAGAGATGAGTTTGTCTTATGAAAAACTGTTCCAGGTTTCAGCCCACCCTGTGGACTCTTTCCCCTTGCTCAGGGCTCTGGGTGGGCTTACCTGTCAGAGAGGCCCCTCGCTGCCTTTCCTGTCTCTGCAGATATGAAGCAGCATTATTAGTGCTTTTCAGAGCGTAACTATCCCTATGCACAGGAAAAGCCTAGAGTTAAATATATACTGCTGCTTGGCTTCAATTTCTAACAGATCCGAACAGAGAGAGATTCTTTATAAAAAAAAATGGTTGTTCACAATACCTCATGTAAACTCTATTACAGTATCAGCATTTCATAGGAATTTCATCAGAGTAGAGATGAGATAGAACAGTGGTGGGCAAACTTTTTAGACCCGAGGGCGACATCAAGTTTTTATTTTCCTTCTTCTTTTTTTCTTGTCAACAAAAAGGCAATGTGGTGCACCTCACGTTTTTGGAAAGTAAATGCGAGTTCGGTATATTAGACCTACCTCTTTCTCTCCGATATTGGTGAAGTATTTTGTTGTCCATTTTTCCTTAAACACATGACATTCAGAGTCAATTTTTTTTGCCTGACTTATTTTCAGTCATTAACGGTCCAGTGCCTTTTAATATATATTCTAATTCTAACTGTACCACGTGCAATACTGCCATCAAATGGCGTTCACTTGTATTGCATCATTAATTTACTAATCTGAACGCAAACCGTTACTCAGAAGCAACATTTTAAAAACTCCCTCGAGGGCCGGATGAAAGTGTTCATATGGCCCGCAGGCCTTAGTTTGCCCACCTCTGAGATAGAATGACTTTTACTGCTTGTTTAAACCAGGAGTTCTCAAACTTTTTAGGCTTTGAGTTTGACCCCCAAAATAACAATACCAGTTAATCGCAAACCCCAATATCATCTTAAGTGGTTATAAATATATAAATCTTGCTCACTTCGGTGCACACATACCAATACACCCAAGTCTATTCATTGTTTATTTTTGGAAAACGCCTCTCGGAGACAATCCTCCATGTTCAGTTGTGGTCTGTATTTATTTTTTATGAGGTAAAGGTGTCAGACAGTTTAACCTGGTGCCATAAAATCAATGTTTGATGCTATTGCTGTGTCTTTAATATAACGGAATCATCCCTTGGGTCGCAAAAACAAAACATTTTGAAATGCTGATGGCATTGTAGTTGCATGTTGTTTTTTTAATGTTAATTATAAACATGTTAATAATTATTAACTATTTTGTTTTCTAGTAGGTTATGGATAAATTATGGTAATTCTTATAGTTTAATAAAATGTTGATTTTTGGAAATCGTCAAGCGACCACGCCGATAAACAAGCTTTTGTTATATGTTTAATTTTTTGTAGAGGTATTTTCAGTGCTATTCAGAAGTATGGGTTGTTGGGTATTTTTAAAAAAATAAGTTAAGTCTTTAATAGTCACCATAGCATTTAAACACAGTGTAGTTGTATTTCGCATATTTTTTTTGCATTTATTGTAGCTGTCTTGTATGTTTATAATTGTATGTATTTGAATGTATTTTAAATTGTAATGTATTTCTCTGTTATCCTAACATTTATTGAAATTAGCAGTCTTTACTTTTAAATGCCGTGATATTTGCGTACTATTTCACAAATGTCACTATGGTATGATAAATGTATTAAAGCATGGCAGTTCATCATTTTGTCTTCATCTTCTCTTAATGCAGGATCTTCCAGTAATCTGGTGGCCCAGGAGGCTGTAAGGAAACAGGCTACACTTCTGAAAGCTGCCACCAAACCTGGAGAACAGATCTCGAGTAAGAATCAAACCTCTAATCTTCACTATCAACTCAAAATATGCTTCGCTTCAGCAATGAAAAAGCCCAATAATGACAAAAGCATGTATACATAAAACACCTTTAAAGCAGCTTGTCCATCTGGAACTGTTAGAACCTTTACCCAAGGCCCTTTGTTGCAAGGCTTAAATAACGTAAACGGCTTGTAACAGTAAACAGCCCATTTTTTTTTTATTATCCACGCACAAGTTCTTTTAACCAGCACCTTTTCAGTCGGAATCTTAATTAACTGTCTAGCATTCACATAAAGTTTTTTTTTCCCTCACAAACTAAAAACCTACTTAGGTGATTCAGAAAACTTCTTGTCTTTAAAAGAACTCACCTTGGAAGAAATGCTGTGAAAGCTGTAGTTGATAATTGATTATGACGTTTCTCTTCGTCTCTGTCTCTCAGACTGTCTAAACTGCAGTCGTATTACTGCCCTCACAGATCGTCTGAGTTCATTGGAGACCAAGGTAAAACACATCTTCCATTCTAAGCTGTTTTCAGGGGGAATTCACTAAGAATAAATTTGCATCCATTGATAGCTTTGTTTATTTGCACCTCAGTGTTTTACGATGCTCAGGCCCCATAACTCCAGTCCACTGTTATCACTCAAACAATCCATGTCCAACACTGTGCGATCAATAACCCTTTATGTCTTCTCTGTTCTTGTCGCTTTTTCTCTCAGGTTCAGCTTCTTACTGCCCCTGCATCCACGTCTCATCGACAGACGCAGTTAAAAAAGGAACCTGACTCCTCCTTCCTCATGGGGGCTACACCTGCTAAAGGGGCTCCTGGGGCTCAGGGTCCTGCAGGTTTGTTGATCTCTTGTGTTAAACCCCAATATGCTCACATTGAAGGTTTTCTTCTGTTCTTCTTAGACATCGTTTTTTTTTGCTTGTTTTATGCTTAATAATAAACTGTTAGCAAACATCTCACTGTCTGCACTGCAGGCATTGCCGTTTAGGTAAGTTTGTTAGTAGGATGCGTTCCTGGATTAACACATATGTTTATCCTGGAGTATCATTCCTGTTCGAAAATCTAATTCCTACCTAAACCCTGTGTTTGATCCCTTACTGTAAATTATTCCCAAAATTAGAGGGGATTAACTATTGGATGTAGAAGGACATAGCCATAACTGTCAGCCAAAAACCTGACATGAACTGTAAACTTATCCCTCAAATCTGATTGGCTGATTTCAATGTTGATCCAGTTACATGTCTTGGTAAAATCACATTAAACGAATATGTAATTATATGCTATGACAATAACAAAAGATGCACATGCCTTTCTCACAAACATCAATGGGAAATTTGTAGTTTGATATATCAAATAAGCTTATAATTTTCCATCATAAATGCTAATTTAACAGTTGCATACCCTGACACACTCCTCTCAAAAAAATTTAACACAACATAACAAAGTGAATATACATTTATTTTAGACAAGCACGCCAATGAGTTCACAAAATGATGCAAATGGAAGTAAATTGCTATTTAAACTAAGTGGCACAAAACGTAAAAAAAAAATAGGGTTGGTCTGAAAATAGCAATAAATCACGCCGAACGCGTCTTGCACCTTACGCCCCGTTCACATGGGGCTTCAGTGTCAATGCTTGACAGTGGGCGTGTCTGAAGTTGGGGCTGACGCGATCGCCATAGCAGTGTCAGCCAATAAAATTAGTCAGCAAGCGGCGCCGACGGATCCACAATGCACTTTGGCAATGCATCACTTCTACCATTTAAAGTGAATGGAAAGCGCTGAAGCTGACACCCCGTTATTGCGCAGAGTGTATGATACGGCCCATAGTGTCAAATTCACTATTTTCACAAATTCTATTATAATTGTCAAACCTAAATGGATTTTTAAAAGTGAAGCTGAAAGTAACTACATGTAATCTAATTTGTATTACAATCAGAAAATACATATTTTATATAATATCTCAGGCTATTTCATAAAACACAATAAATAAAATTGCTGATTATTTCTGGAAAGCAAAAATAATCCACCTCCCCCCCCCTAATTATTAGCCCCCTCTGTTTATTTTTTCCCCAATTTATGTTTTACGAAGATTTTTTCAGCACATTTTTAAACGTAATAGTTTTAATAACTAATTTCTAATAACTGATTTATTTATGATTTATTCTTTTCCACAATGACAGTAAATAATATTTTACTAGATGATTTTCAAAACACTTCTATACAGCTTAGATTGACATTTAAAGGCTAATAATTCTGACTTCAACTGTATGTAACTTAAAAAATACTAATTTAAATTTAAGCCGTCTAATAGTATTGACCTTAAAATTATCTTTAAAAAACTAAAACCGTTTTTTATTCCAGCCAAACTAAAATAAATAAAAAATAAATAATTCTCCAGAAAAAGAGAAGTTCTATGAAATTTGTCCTTGCATTATCAAACATTACTTGGGGAATTTTTGAAAACAAATAAAGATTTAACAGGAGGGCTAATAGTTTTGCCTTCAACTGTGTGCATAATGAGTTATGTGCTACATTAATAATACATTGGCCCTATAATTGTAATGATGCCATTTGCTGTATAAGGCTGCAATAAGCACACATTCCTTTTCCACTGATTTTAATAGAGCAAACATTGATGAGTCACTAGACAAAAGGCCATTGTTCCTATAGTTCAAACAATACAGCATTGCACTACCAATGCCAAAGTCAAGTGTTCTAACTAAAATTAAATTTTTCTGCAGAGTATTCATGACTGTTCATCAGTGGGTCTGTTTACCCCAAGTTATGGAGCAAACTTTATTAGCCAGCAAGCTTGTAGAGATAATCCCATTGCCTATAACAATAATGATAATCCAGGATCCACCCGCCATTTCATTTATCTCCCTGCACAGTTGTTGGGGATTTCACTGCGGAGAGATTAGAGTAGACTTAAATTGTATGTGCATTTGATGCTGTGAGCGCTGATGGTGGTGGGTGTTTTTTGGGGAAATGCCATGGTGCATGTGGGTTTGAATCACACTAATTCATTGGCAGTTTCCATAGAGATGTAGTATTGAGATATTAGAGGCTTGCTACGATTTGAAGGGGGTAATTGTGTAGTAAAAACTGTGGGACTGCAATTGATAGTGTCACAGATGTCATTTCCAACAGACAAACTGTTGGCAACCGAACAGTGGCTAAAGACTCTTTAAGCAGGCTTTGTTCCAGAACTATTTTAAGACCCATTCAGTTTAGTCTTAGGACTCCTAAGGAAAACGATTTCCTTCCTAAACTGTAAAAGCATTACATTTGTGACCATGGACCACAAAACCAGTCATAAGTGTACATTGTTTAAAATTAAAGGCTGAATAAATAAGCTTTTTTTGATGTATTGTTTGTATAAGACAATTTTTGGCCAATATGCAACTTTTAAAAATAGTAATGCACAATACTAATCAAAAATAGAGTTTTGTGATATTTACATTTAGAAATTAGCCAATCTTTTCTTTTTAGATGTTTACTTTGTTATTTTAGGCATAAAAGAAAAATCTATATTTTTGAATCATTCAATCCCAACTTTGCCAAAATACTATTGCCAAAAATACACCATGCAACTTTGTAATCCAAGGTCACAAGTGCTAAATGCTAAATGGCATCGGTCATTGGTCAGATTTTTTTTTATTTTACAATATAATATGATGCAACACTTCAAAATTATTTAGTAAGGTTTAAACTGCACTATAATTTTATTTGAAAGAAGGTTGCAACGATTTAGTTTTCATTTGATACAATTTAATTTGTGTATCTTCAAATGAATAGAATTTAATAAAGTCATTTATTTTCTTTTTTCCTGTTTAGAATATAACTAAGCCTTTAATTGTCATTTTTAAATTTATAAATTAGGATTTATAAAGCATAAATTGTCCTCAATATAGATTATTTATTAATTTTTAAGTTTAGGCACTATTATTATAATATTATTATTATTATATTAATATTATTATAATGCCTGAATACTAATAATTACAAATGTTAATTTGAATAGTTTATTAATCATTTAACTCAGCATTCTGAGTGATGGTAAAAACACCTAACTAATCTCAAGTAACTGGTTTGTAAATAGTGCAATACTTAATTTAGTAATGATAAATCATTAACAAAGTCTGAAAGTACAATTATTAATCACATTATACATGTGCTTACAAGTCAAAAATAGAGCATTTGTAGCTTCAGTTATAAACTGTTTACTAACTTCTATTAATGTAGAGTTAATGCTTAACAAATAATAAATTCACTATTTGCTAATGCTTAATAAATTATTCATAGTGTGTAGTTATTATAAAGTGTTACCATTAAAAATAACTGTTTTTATATTTTTTATTTTAACATTTATTATTTAATTTTAATAAAAAAATTAATTATAGTTTATTAATAATAATAAGCTATAGCTATAGCTTTTTTAATAATTGTTTTTTAGCTTTTCATCTTTAATTGATCGGACAGTAGGAGAGCATACACAGCAAAGTGTGAGGAGCAAAGAGAAGGGAAGAATCGGCATAGGACCTCGAGGCAGGAATTGAACTCTGGTCGCTGTGAGCACTGTAATGCCATGCATCGAAGCACCAACGACTAGGCCATTGGCGCCAACATTAGCAATTTTAATGTACTATTTAAAATATGGGCGATGCGGTGGTGCAGTAGGTTGTGTAATTGCCTCAAAGCAAGAATGTTGCTGGTTCGAACCTCGGCTGGGTCAGTTGGCATTTCTATGTGGAGTTTGCATGTTCTTCCCACGTTCGCATTGGGTTTCCTCGTGGGTCCTCTGGTTTCCCCAACAAGTCCAAAGACATGCAGTACAGGTGAATTGGGCAAGCTAAAATTGTCCGTAGTGTATGTGTGTGAATGGAAGTGTATGGATGTTTCCCAGTGATGGGTTGCAGCTGGAAGAGCATCTGCGGCGTTGACGGTTTATTCCGCTGTGGCGACCCCAGATTAATAAAGGGACTAAGCCGAAAAGAAAATGAATGAATGAATGTTTAAAAATATATTATTATTTAAATTCATTCCTTTTTTTCAATTTAGTCTCTATTTCAGAGGTCATCACAGCAGAATGAACCACCAACTATTTCAGCATATATTCTACACAGATGCCCTTCCAGCTAAACACCCTTATACACTCATTCACACACACTACATTTACATACACTATAGGCAATTTAGTTTATTTAATTCACCTATAGCGCAAGTCTTTGAAGTGTGGGGGAAACCGGAGCACCCGAAGGAAACCCACGCGAACACAGCAGGAACATACAAACTCCACACAGAAATGCCAACTGGCTCAGCTGGGACTCGAACCAGCAAACTTCTTGCTGTGAGGTGACAGTGCTAGCTATTGAAATTTAATTCATTATTTTGAAATTTTGATGTTGTTTTAGATCAGTTTGATCAAAGTAAATGGACTAAAAATTACTTTAAACATTCTTTAAATATCTAGAGATGTACCTACTGTCACCGTACTGCCCCTTATTATTAAAATATTATTTAAAATGGTTTTAGATGTTATTTTGTTACTGTTACGTTATCATATTAGATCATAAGCACATTTTTTGTGGTATTTGTAGAATTAATCTTTGATTAATATAAAGTTTAAAAGAGTGACTTAAATCGGGCAAATGTTCATAAATATATTTACTGTAACTTTTGTTTTGTTTAGTACATACTTGCTGAATGAAAGCATTATTTTCTTTTACAAAAACATGTTTGACTCACTCCAAACTTTCAAGCGATAGTGTATAAACATCAATAATTATCTTTTATGTTGATATTGTACTAAAGCCAAGGCAAATCAAATCAA